TTTTTCTTAAGAAACGGAGCACATGGCATTCCACTTACTATATAAGGTAACTAGTAAATGCCCGCCGATTTTTACTATGAAATTTGTTCCCTTTAACTGCGGACTACTAATTACATATAAAATATGTTACCGTCATGTTGAACTTGTTAAATAAATTTCTTTAGCGGCATTCATATAATTATTTACAAATTCTTTCAAAAAGAAGTGGAAAGCAATTTCCATATACCCACAAAGGCATGATTACATTATTTTCGTGATACCGAGATTTCGTAATAACAAGAATGTGTGGTTCTAAGCATAAAAAATCGCGGGATATTCCTCACGAAAAACGTGAAGGTTCAAAATTTTCTGATTGATGAAAAATTGATGTGTGTGATGCTACACGATAGTTGATATACGTACGTACGTACGTAATTAAACGGAGATTTGCGACATTTTATAATGCACAACTAGAACACGACCATATAGGGCAACTTCGCCGCCATAAAGTCAGATACGTAATCCCATTTCATAAAATTAATAATTTTTTTATGATAAAGATCATTAAATAAAAATTATCAGAAATGATGCATATTGTCAGCATCAGAACCCTGCATATTAATTCTCAAGCCCCTCATTCCATGAATGAGAACGGATTTAAACGAATTTGCAATTGCTTTAGTTTAGGGTTATGTATAGGCCATATAAAATAATTTCTACCCTAAAAATCTAATTCCACTAAAAAATTACAAATCCACTTAAATTCTATTTTTATTTACCCAAAACAAACATTTGCATAAAAACAAAACGTAATATTTTTTTATACCGACGGTGATCCGAAGTTGTTTTTTAATATAACAAAATTGGCAAAAATCGATTCGATTTAATATGCAACAAATTTAGTAGTCTTCTAAAAATTTTATTAAAAATTTAAAATATACATTTATTTAGCTTTTTTAATAAAGATTTATCGTCAACAAGACGCATTTTATATTCTTTTTATTATTATATTTCTGCCATTCATGCCATATTGTGCATTATAGGGAGCACTTTGTTACACTAAGTAGTACAACTTTTTATAACCCCGTATTGAAACAGCTGATTAAATGGTCTGTGGTCTACGTATAGATGCTGGTGAAACTGGTAAAACTCTTGGTGAATGGTGGTGAAACTGGTGAAACTGGTGAAATTTAATATAACAGCCAATCAGATTTTAGATAGTCACCAGTTTCACCAGCATCTATAGGTCTACGTACACACACATATATAATTATATATTACCATTCTACAGACTTTTTAACATCTAATTATTATTTTTTAAATTATTGTCATACAAACATACCGGGAGTGACCCCGCATGATATCGTGATATCGATGGAAAACGTTTAGAAACTTCTTAGTGAATTTGCTGAGCTGAGTATTAATTCATTTATTGACAACTTATATATTTGTTTCATTCCATTAATATAAATTGCAACCTTCTAATTAAACAAATCTTTTGCAATTAAGATGATTTGAGGAATTTGATCTATATCCAAGTCCCCATCTATATATACTCTTTTAATAGATTTGGGGTTTTAAATACAAATTCCAATGCTGAGCATTTTACTTAGTAGTCTGATAACAGTTATCTGAGCCATTTTGCGAAATAATAAAAAAAAAGTAAATTAAATTTATATAAATTTATATAGAACTAAATAAAATCTATATAAATTTTGAATTTATAAATTATAAATGGAATTTTATTTATCGCGCTTTTCAAATTACTGTGTCCACTGATTTTCATACATCACACCGGGAATCAGAAATCTTGAATAAATGCAAACCTGTGATTGGTTAAAAATAATTTTTAGCCAATCACGTATTGGCTTTTTTTCTAGATTTCTGATTCCCAGTGTGATGTATGAAAATCTGCGGACACAGTAATTTGAAAAGCGCGATAAACTTTATATAAACACTACATAAATATTACAATTATATACATCTACACTGGGTTTGTAAGTCTATATAAAAGTTTTATATAATGTTTATATAAACTTATAGTTATTTTATAAAAAATATACTTCCTGATGTTGTTTAAATATTACATTTATGAACACATATATAGGGTACATTTATTCCTCACCCGGGTGAATTATTCACCCCCTATAACAAAATTTGAATAAATGCTAATATCACAAAATTTTACTAAGGTAACCCCTGTCATATTACATAAGCAAAATATTTCTCTCACAATTTTACTTTAGGCTAACCCTAAAACTAACTCTAAATTTAACCCTAATATATTATTATGACCAGGGTCTCCTATTGTACTTAAGGGGGGTGAATAATTCACCCGGGTAATCAATAAATTATTTCAAATATAAATATCTCCGAACTTTTGTTTTTGGACAAAACTCAAAAGAATCTTAAATATTGGATGAAGGCTCCAAAGACACGACCTCCAAATATTATGAATCGACCTCGTAATACTAACGGTCATCCTCATACCCAAGTTCAAAGAATCTTAAATACTAGAAGACAGCTTCAAAGACCCAGACCTCAAAATTTTATGAATCGACCTCGTAATATTAACAGTCATCCCCATGCCCAAGTTCAAAGAATCTTACATACTGGAAGACGGCTCCAAAGACTCCGACCTCAAAATATTATGAATCGACCTCGTAATACTAACGGTCATCCTCATTCTCAAGTCCAAGGAATCCTAAACATCGGAAGACGGCTCCAAAGATCCCAACCTCAAAATATTGTGAATTCATCAGATGGTGTCTCTAGTGCCGCTCAACAATACATTGATTTGATTGGAGGTTCAAATCAATTTACCGGGTCGCAAGATGCAGAAACACCGCGTCATAATACTCAGTATCATATTGAACTAATTTCTGGCTTTCCATTGTATTAAGAAGAATATGCGCACGAAATATATCGCTTAAGGCAACTTTTGACTACACTTTTATGGTCACATTTTTATAAGGATAAGGTTAGTTGATTAAATGCAGTTCAGGACCAATTTTCATTTCTGTTTTTAAAAATTATATGCTAGACAATTCAAAAAAAAAAACAATGCATTTTAATAAGATTAATTGCTAAAATTTTTCTTTTATTTTAATCTAAGTAAATTAATCATATCTCGCCTAAAAGTGTGTCTTTATGTGTTCATTTGGCTTCCCTATTTTTTAATACATATAACTGTATAAACTAAATA